GTCCCTAGTCTTATCTTATAGTTAGGATAGCCTTATGCCTATCCCACGCATGCTTAAACTCCTTTACTGTGTTAACCTCTACCACTTCAGCTGGAAGGCTATTCCATGCATCCACTACCCTCTCAGTAAAGTAATACTTCCTGATATTATTTTTAAACCTTTGTCCCTCTAATTTAAGACTATGTCCTCTTGTTGTGGTAGTTTTTCTTCTTTTAAATATAGTCTCCTCCTTTACTGTGTTGATTCCCTTTATGTATTTAAATGTTTCTATCATATCCCCCCTGTCTCGTCTTTCCTCCAAGCTATACATGTTAAGATCCTTTAACCTTTCCTGGTAAGTTTTATCCCGCAATCCATGAACCAGTTTAGTAGCCCTTCTCTGAACCCTCTCTAAGGTATCAATATCCTTCTGAAGATACGGTCTCCAGTACTGTGTACAATACTCCAAGTGAGGTCTCACCAGTGTTCTGTACAATGGCATGAGCACTTCCCTCTTTCTACTGCTAATACCTCTCCCTATACAACCAAGCATTCTGCTAGCATTTCCTGCTGCTCTATTACATTGTCTGCCTACCTTTAAGTCATCAGAAATAATCACCCCTAAATCCCTTTCCTCAATGTTGAGGTTAGGACTCTATCAAATATTCTGTACTCTGCCCTTGGGTTTTTACGTCCAAGATGCATTATCTTGCACTTATCCACATTAAATGTCAGTTGCCACAATTCTGACCATTTTTCTAGTTTACCTAAATCATTTGTCATTTGGCTTATCCCTCCTGGAACATCAACCCTGTTACATATCTTAGTATCATCAGCAAAAAGACATACCTTACCATCAAGACCTTCTGCAATATCACTAATAAAAATATTAAAGAGAATGGGTCCAAGTACAGATCCCTGAGGTACCCCACTGGTGACAAGTCCAAGCTTCGAATATATTCCATTAACTACAACCCTCTGTTGCCTGTCACTCAGCCACTGCCTTACCCATTCAACAATATTTGAATCCAAACTTAAAGATTGCAGTTTATTGATAAGCCTTCTATGTGCAACAGTGTCAAAAGCCTTACTGAAATCTAGGTAAGCAATGTCTACTGCACCACCCTGATCTATAATTTTAGTTACCCAATCAAAAAAATCAATAAGATTTGTTTGGCATGATCTCCCTGAAGTAAACCCATGTTGTCTCTGATCTTGAAATCCATGTGTTTTTAGATGTTCATCTATCCTATCCTTTAACATGGTTTCCATCACTTTCCCCACTACTGAAGTAAGGCTTACTGGCCTATAGTTGCCCGACTCCTCCCTATTACCTTTCTTGTAAATGGGCACAACATTTGCTAACTTCCAATCTTCTGGGACTACTCCTGTTAACAATGATTGGTTAAATAAATCTGTTAATGGTTTTGCTAGTACACCACTAAGCTCTTTAATAGCTTTGGGTGTATTCCATCAGGTCCCATTGACTTATTTGTCTTTACTTTTGACAGTTGAAATAGAACCTCTTCCTCTGTAAACTCACGTGTAATAAATGACTCATTTATCCTTTTTCTCAACTGAGGTCCCTTTCCTTCATTTTCTACTGTAAATACAGAACAAAAATATTCATTTCAAAGTACAAAGAGGTAGAAGAGCGCTAAAGAGTAGGGAGGCAAAATTGGCAACAAAAACCTTACAAATGGGGCTGCTATATCTTCACCAAAATAAAGAAATGTAGATAATAGGATGGTAGTTGTGCCAAGAAACTGAAAAAAGCTCTCTTGTTGGCGAAATGCATTTTTGCTATTTCTATTGTGCTGCATTGTTTTTAAGCGCCAGCAAACTCTTGGATTATACAAAACTCCTGCTTTTTGGTTTTATTGATGACCCATGTGATCTACTTCATATCGTGGATATGGATCATAGAACCTATGCCTGAATATCAGAGCAGTTGCTTCTCTGAAAATTGTAGGTAAGATTGTTTTATTCATATGATGTTAAATTCCATGTACAGAAAGCACTATCTATCTCCTTTTTGATCCTCAAAGTATTCCATCTTTGGGACAAATCTCCAAACTCCAGAGTAGGAATTACCACTCAAAACTAACCACCTTGAGCATTCAAGAAGCTTTTTTTATATGAGTGGCCATTTGTTGCTGTTTCAGCATACAAAGATTACAGTTAATAGCTAAATATTCTTCACAAGAGGTTATCCAATTCTTCAGCTGTATATTACTATTATATATTTATTGGCACAACTACCACCCTCTAATTTACATGTTCATTCTTTGTTGACTTCCACAGTGACATAACACTTCTTCTGAACTTACTAGGAACTTACCACAAACCCATTCATAGCATTTTCCTCTTTAATTGGGTTTTGCTTTCAATTTATGAAGATTTCAACTGCAAATCTCAAGTGGAATGCACACACATGGCCAGTTATCCACAAGAAATGTTAAAACGTAGGTATGGGATGATTGCTAGCTGTTAGTTGTTTATCAAACAAGTCTCTAATTTGTAGAAAACCTGGGCTTACATTGAAGGTTGTTTGGGAGGTCGACAAATGTGTTTATTTAACAGACTACTTCATACAGAGAGATTTAAAGCTCAGAGGTTTAAAGGGAATACGTTATGTAATTTTCCTATGCCGGTGAAAGAGGCTCTTTCTATGGAGGGCCCTGTGGTCTTGAGGGATCCCCCAAAGACATCAGTGTTATACTGTTACACACATGTGAGAGTACAGTGATGACTTTGGCTCCTGCCAGAAGAAGATGTTGCAGATATGAGGAACAGGTTCAGGGAAGTAAAAACTAGCTTTTACTGCACGTCCCCTGGCCACTGCACTGGAAACAGAGCAGTCATCATTAGTGATGTCCCGAATGGTTTGCCAAATGGTTCGTGAACGGTTCGCCACGAACGGTTCGCCGCGGACTCATCATTGAGTAAACTTTGACCCTGTACCTCACAGTCAGCAGACACATTCCAGCCAATCAGCAGCAGACTCTCCCTCCCAGACCCTCCCACCTCCTTGACAGCATCCATTTTGAAGCTGCATTCTTAGTGAGCTGTCCAGGAGGTGGGAGGGTCTGGGAGGGAGGGTCTGCTGCTGATTGGCTGGAATGTGTCTGCTGACTGTGAGGTACAGGGTCAAAGTTTACTCAATGATGAGTCCGCGGCGAACCGTTCATGGCGAACCGTTCGGCGAACCGTTCGGGACATCACTAGTCATCATCAAGGGTCTTTGTAAAATATGCAAAAACAAACTGTAGAATTCATAGAACTTGGAAAATAATCTCTCTTGCTGCAGATGATGCTCATCAACTAACACACATAGAGACAGAGCTGGACAAAAGGCACCATGCCAATATATTGGGCCAATATTGATTAAAATATAGTACTATTGTGCTACCCCATAAGGGGGTGAGGGGTTGTGAAAAATTGTTCCTTTACCTATATACTGTATTATAGGGAATTACTGCAGTGGTTTTAGGATTAAGAAACCATGAAATGCTTCTTTCATTGGAGAGTTACATCCTAATATCAGCTAGGATGAATAACGCACAGATTTTGTCTACATAGTTCACCTGACAACTTTTATAATTAAGTCTGCTGACTGTATTAATAATGAATGATCTGTAATTAATGATAGTATCTTTAATGTCGGTCTAAAAATAAAATTATGCAGCATAGCAACAAGATCTATGATGAACCTGGCCATGAGTCTTTCTAGCATGCACAGTTTTTAGGTTTTATTGAATGACGTTATTATAACCCTTTAATTCCCGAACGGGTGAGATAAGCAAGTGTAGCCCCCGCCCCACCAAAAAAACTAAATTACATAATTCAAATAAAAATATTGAATTTTAGTTTCCTGATCAACCAAATTATTATAAACAAATCATGTTGCTACGGTGCCTAACTTTGCCCACTAAGAGGGTTATTCACACAAACACTGAACTGTTGTGAACTATAAAATGAAAGTCAAAATTTAATCTAAAATGCCAAATTATAGTGTTATGGTGTTATGGAAAAATTGGAGAATTGTTTTAAATAAGATCATTTTGACTTATATTTTGCTGTTTGGTTTTCAATTCACTACAATTTGGTGTTTAGTGAATAAACCCCAAAGTGTTTTATAAAAAACGTTAACAAAACAGATTTATACTGTTTTCTAAAAAAAAATATATTTATTTTTATTTAGGCTCCTTGCAATGAATTGCAAGAATATGAATAAAGAGTGCAGATATGAAATGTGTGAAAGAAAATATTAAAGGTATAAACAATATATATTTTTAAAGAAGATGCAAAATAGACTCCAAACTCTGAGTTGTTCTATGCATTTGGCATTTGAGGTGTTAAATATTTATACGTGGTAATCGTAGAGTGTACAGCGGAGTTGTAAAAAAAAATTGAACGAAAGAGAGAAAAACATTAAAGTAAAATAAAAAAAATACAGTTGGAGTCTGTACTGCTTAGTGATTTGGCATTTGAAGGGTTACACATGTTATGGAAGATAACCACACATTGCTAGGTTACCTCTATATATAAAATAATTTAGAAAACGGCAAAACAGAAAATGATGGTGGTCAAGGGGTTAATCATGGGTTAGAAAGCGATAAAATTAAAGCAAACAAAGAAGAATACTTATAGCAATGCATTGGTAGCTCCATCCGAAACTCTATTGGAAAATGTTTAAAATAGAAATAATAACAATATTATAAAATATAAAAACAAGAAATATAAGATAGGAGTTTATCACTAAAACGGAATTGTAACAAATTAAAAAAACTAAACCCAAGCTGTAACTATAGCCGAGTTGTATTTTATTTTCTCAAATCAGCTATTTTTAATTACGTTTTGCAGCGTATTATTTTTACTTGTTACAATTAACAGTTTAGTTAATAAACCCCACAGAGTTGTTCTAGTCAATGTATCGTAGATACAATAAATTCATATTGACGCGCACTCGTTAGCTGCATATTGATCTGTAATATCCTACCTTTTGGAGTTTTGCTTTTCTTGCATTTTGTACAAACCTCCGTCCCAGCTTTTTGGCATACCAGATAGAGGCAAACATTCTTGTGATAGGAAAATGAAACTGATAAGAGTCCTCGAAATTCCCAATCTGAAGGCTGCAATGGAATTAGATCTTGCTTCTGGCTTGTTGTGAATTAACAAGACCTGGCTCTGCCTCTCTGGAAAGCCTAGAACAGTCAATCTGCAGGTATATTTACATACTGCTAGCGGGAGACATCCTTGGATGAGGCATCTTTTGCATCCAGCTCACATAGAGTCTGCTAAGTGCTTGCCTGCAGTTCTTCAGCAATGACGCTACAAACTAACTACATGTGTGTCAGCGAGGACTGAGGCTGCAGTGGTTGGTACTCAAATCACCTAGTTGTTTTGGAAACTCTTAACCCTATGCACGCCAGTGGGAGGAGAGATGTGTTGTTGAGCAATTGTTCTACTATGGCACTGTTGCTCTCTCTTCGCTTTTTAATAATATTATACGCACATAATAATATACGCACATATAAACACAAACTGAGGGTCTTATCCCTTTTTCTGCCCAGCATACATTAGGTGTATTTTTGATGACGTATTTTTGTACTTTGATGACGTAGCCCCTCCAACATTGGGGCAAAACTAAAACCTCTCTCAAGTTAATACAATAAAATCAGGGAGTTGTACTAAACCAGAAATTGTGGGGAATTAAAAATAGAATTGAAAATTGTAGGATAAATTACTGTTAAATTATTCCAGCATTGCTGTTAGACAAATAAAAATACTATTTCTTTCTCCAAATTCTCCAAAATTCCTGTTTCAGTGAATTACTCAACAACGTCTTTAAAATTAACAGGGCACGGGTCAGCCTTTTGTTTCTGGGCCCCCCTAACAAAAAAGGGTCTACAGAAGAGTCAGTGAGATGCTCCATCCACACCTCCCAAGTGTCCTTACTTAAGGGAATAGTCCTTATTTTGAACTCTGTCCCTCTTTTCTCTCCTAATGTCCATCTTTTCTAGGAGCTCCATATTGTTGGTGTGTCTGAGTGTATAACAGAGCTCCACAGCAATAATACTCGCAGTAATGTGTCTGAGTGTGTCACAGAGCTCCACAGCAATAATACTCCCAGTAACGTGTGAGTGTATAACAGAGCTCCACAGCAATAATACTCCCAGTAACGTGTGAGTGTATAACAGAGCTCCACAGCAATAATAGTCCCAGTAATGTGTCTGGGTGTATAACAGAGCTCCACAGCAATAATACTCCCAGTAATGTGTCTGAGTGTGTCACAGAGCTCCACTGCAATAATACTCCCAGTAATGTGTCTTTAACCTACAATAAATGTGTTTAGAAATCAGTCTGTGTAAATAAGATACATTGTTGTTGTTGTAAATTATATTTTAATACCATAAATTGTAATTACTAAGTCACCTAAAATTTATCAAAATGGCCCCTGGCCAGACCCCCACTCACACCCCTAAAATTAAAGTGTCCCTCTTAGTCTTTCAGAAATGTTGGCAGTGCAAAGAGATTATATAGGGATGATTGTTCCCATCAGACTTTACTAGGGACAATGGAGGGGGAATGGCAAGATGTGTCTGCTGTCTGTGTGGCACTGACCGGATGTGAGTGCTGAGCTAACTCACTCCCAGCACTCTCAGTCAGTTACTGCCATCCACATTGGATAATATTGACACCGATAACATAGAAGTGTAAATTCTGCATTCTCATTGCAGCTTGCGAATGCTCATGGCCAGTTTCATTTCGAGGATCTAGATAACTGTTACTCTGATCCCAGCAAATTCCCAATGCAACATTGTAGCAATTTAATTTCTCAGACACCACTGCCTTAATAAATAACAGATTATATATTTCCTAATATTTCCTTAAAAATAAAGTACTATTTTTTGTTAAAACAGCAACCTGTAAGCACTGATGGGATCAGTCATTTAGAACCAACTTTCCTTGTAACAAGATGAACAGGAGTCAAAAATGAATTAACACCTCTAGGCAAAACACCATAGGGAGCGTATACCTTTAACAGCTGCAGGGCTACCTGCCGACTAACCATGATTCAGTTCTTGCTATGAACTAATGTGGATTTTTTTGTGAACATTGCAATTTATTTGTTAGATAGTCAGCTCAACTTTTGACTTAAATATACACAGAAGAAATGTCCTTTGCTCTCAAAATGGTGACTGGTTTCTCTTCTACAGTCAAAAAGGAGAAACATACAGTGATACAAAAACAAGGTGCGCTCAAAAAACATACCCTTATCAATAAATATCCACACAATCTTTTTTTAAGCATATCACTATATAATTTATAAAATTATTAACTTGTATTAAAATTTGCACTTTTTGTAAAATATAAAACAAGCTAAAGTTCTTAAGGTGTTTGGAATGTTCCTTTAAGCATTAATGCTAAAAACATCGATTTCAATTATTTTCAAACCATGTTGCTAGCTGCTAGGAACCCATGATGCTAAGCAACACTTCACCCTCTCTAAGCCTTAGAATAGAAATGACTTCAAATATTTTCTTCTTTAGTATTTGGAAGAGATGGGAATTTTTTATACAACAAGTGAAAACAAAGGCAAATACATTGGCAAACAATGACACAGTCTGTAAATTAAGTATATTCTGTATAGTTTGCAGGGTGTTTCAGGCATCCCAACAGTCCTGATTTCAGGGTCCTGTGCCACCATCCATAGTATCCCACATTTGGGGACGCGAGGAAACTGTCCCACGGGCAGCACAGCCAATGTGTATCATTCTACATACTCATCCTGTGAAGTGGGCACAAAGTCCATAGAGAGAATGCCTCAGGATTGTCCTGAAGGCTGGGGGCTGGCAAGAAGGCTATCATTGTAGCCCACATCTTTCCCAGGTGGGCTTACCTATAAAGGGCTTTGCTAGTGAAGTGGGTAGTGTCATTGTGATGCCCCTTAAAGGGGCCCATCCATCCTATCTCAATTCCATGGGCCACTTTGTTGGGAGGTATGGAGTTGACACATGACATGGAGTAACGGTGGTTGCACACAGTCACTCCAAACATCTATGTTTTAAGACTTTTCTGACAGTATGGTGATAAAATCCCAGAAGGTCAAATAATGTATAGTGAAATAACTTTTAATCTATAAAGTTGATATTCATTTGGCTAGTAACATATATAGAATAAATTTTATTCTCTATCAAGTAACATTAACAGGGCTTTTTACTAAAGTGAGAATTTATATTTATAAAATATTTTACCAGGATGGATACATTGAGATTTCTCGCTCGTTTTTAAGTATGTCCTGGGTCCACAAAAATTTCAAATTTCAAATTTAAGGTCAGAATAGTCTAACACTGACAGCATAGCTGACTTAGAGGGTGTTTTTTCTCCTTTGGCTACTCTGATCTTCAGTATAAAACTCACTTTGCATTCACTTCTAAATTCTCACGTTAGTGAATAACCCTGAAAGTTGTACAATTTATTTTGACTAATACTTTATTGTTAAATAAACCAATAATGAAAATATTCAGCTTTTAAATTAAAAATATTTTCTTGTTTCCTACGCTGTGTATTAGTGTTCAACAAATCAGCTTTTTTATCTTATTTTATTTAATGCTACATTTTGCTTATTCTACTCATTCTTTTATGTTATAATATGAGAAATTAGATTCCTACAATGTTTAGCCCTCCCCCTCCCCCTTCTTAAGGGTGCTCAATATAGATATTGAGTAATAATACAGAGCGGGATGGCTCCATGGTAACTAATGACTGTTCAGAGTTGGTTACATTTCATTAGAAACCCTCCCAAAATAGAAGGACAATCATCCAACAATGTCAGACACGAAAAAGAACATTTTACTTAAGACTCAGAAGTCCATTTCTATTTAATAAAAACTAGAATATATCTGCCAAGTAAAGCTTGCTCTTAGTAGGCTCATTGAATATAAAATTGAATTTATAGGATGTTTGTATGGCTGGGAACTGTAAATATTTGTGTAACAAAATGTCGAAAAAAAAATGTGATCTGTGCAAAATTCCACAGCAAAGAAAACCCAGACTACACGATAATTCAAAAATCCTAGCTCTAAACCCGTGGATGGTGAGTTGATTGACTTCTCCTTGAAGCAATTCCTTGTAGAAGATATTGTGTAGGTTTATTGATTGAAAAGGAGATTGTGATAAAACAAAAGAAAAGTGCAGAACCCAAACTTGAAATTAGCTTTTATAGTAAATGATAAAATCGGTTGTCAGATCTCTGCAATTCATCCCAGAGATGTCAAAACTTTAAAGATTATTTACTAAACACTGAGTTTTTGAATGAATTAGGAAAAAATTTTCTAAAGCTAGCAAAACAGGGAAAAAAATCAGTTTTATAGTCTTTAAACTTATTGAACTGATTACCAAATCATAAAAATAATCACAAATTAAGCAAAAAGAAATTAGAACCACAGGAAAAAGTGGCAATGGCACACAGAATTAAAGAGGGACATGACCCTATATAAATCTATCTACTTATGTTGTGTTTCATACTATCACTTGCCAAATAGCTTATGTGGAACACAACTCCAATTACCTAGTGGTTGGCTTAGGATAATAAGAATTATATTAAAGCACTAAGGTACGTATTATTTTTATTGATTTCCTAAATCTCAATAATACCACCCATCCTTATGAGAAGCTTTGGAGTGGATGATTGTACTTAGGTCTTCTCTAGGAGAAGCATTCGATTGGACATTGTCCAGCACAAACACAGAAGTATGTGCTGGACAAGTTCTGCAGCTAATAAATGGTAGAAACATAGAATGTGACGGCAGATAACAACCGTTTGATCAAATCTAGTCTGCCCAATTTTCTAAATACTTTTATTAGTTCCTGGCTTTTTCGTAAGTCTAGGGTAGCCTTATGCCTATCCCGCGCATGCTTAAAGGACAACTATGGGCACCCAGACCACTTCAGCTTAATGAAGTGGTCTGGGTGCCAGGTCCATCTAGGGTTAACCCTTTCCGCTGTAAGCAGTTTCAGAGTTTTCAACTTGCCGCGCATGCTCATTCAGCAGATGACGTCGGAAGAGGGAAGAGAGTCCCCAGCGCTGGAGAAAGGTAAGAATTTAACCCCTTCCTCCCCCTTCAGCCCGGTGGCTGTTTCACTGTGTTAACCTCTACCACTTCAGCTGGAAGGCTATTTCATGGTCCACTACTTTCTCTGTAAAGTAATACTTCCTGATATTATTTTTAAACCTTTGCCCCTCTAATTTAAGACTATGTCCTCTTGTTGTGGTAGTTTTTCTTCTTTTAAATATAGTCTTATCCTTTGCTGTGTTGATTCCCTTTATATATTTAAATGTTTCTATCATATCCCCCCTGTCAAG